ACCCCCCCCCCCCGGCGATAAAGAGATCGTTTTATCCATAAATTTTTTTTTTAATGTAAGAGGGGCTCCCATTTTCAAAATTCGCTTTAAGCCCCCTAAATCTCAGGGCCGACCCTGGTAATAAGAGAGGTCCAACATGTTGTTTTTATTAGTTAAGGTTTGTTGATGAAATTTTTTTGTGAAATTTTTCTCGTTGGAAAGACACAAATTTTTTCTTTGTAAAATCTATTACTTATATGGTTGGGCTTTGAATTTGAGGGATTTGTGGTCCATCACCGATTTCATTTTAATAATTTATTTTGTATAATTTTTTGTGTATAATATACAAAAATGTTGTAAATTTATAATTTAAACTGATAAATTTATTTATAATGATGTGATAAGAGGATTGATTGAATGTCTCACAAATCAAAAATTAATATTTATTGTATGATACCATTGTGGGTCAAAAACAACAACATTAACGTTACTCATATTTTGATGATTATTAAAAAAAAGTTGTATACAAATTCATTATTTGTAAATCACTTAACATATAAAATTTATTTACAATTTTACACTAGTTCTTTATCATTTATAAATCAGTGGTCTCTTGAAAAAATATTTTCAAATTTATAAAAAATTTATAATTTTAATTATTAAAGTTGATAAATTTATCACTAATTAAATTTCTTTTTTCAAATGCACTGAATTGTAATTTTCTGAAGACGAATTGGCAAATGCGTCTTTTTACCCTTTTCAAATGTCACTCGGGCACGTGGATCGATTGAAATGTTTCCAATTACATTTGTCTCTTCTGAAGAAATTTTTGTTTCATTTACAAAGAGTAATCTATTATCTATATAAAAAGAAGGCAAGGACGGTATAACGCTTTGTGTAACCCTGTTGCTTTGTTTGGTTTGCGACACCTCTTTGCTTGCAGATTTGGGCTGGACATGGGTTTCAAATTAACCGCACACACAATAGTAGAAGAAAACAAATGTCATCATTCTTGCTATAAATTTGTGACTCCTTCCTTCCTTGCAAATTTTGGGTTGGACGCGTGGGCTTCAACTCATCCACATACACAATGTTCGCTTGGTAAAGTCGTGAAAAAGTAATTATAATTTATAATCTAACAGTTTATAACTTACAACGGTAAACATAAGTTAATTTTTAACTTATAAATTAAGCTTCTCTTCTCCCACTCAAAGAATTTTTAACTTACAAAAAAATATAAGTTATATTATTAAACTGAATTAAACACATCAAAATAACTTAAACTAAGATAAAAACTGAAATAAGTTAAAAATAAACTCTATTAAACATGACCAATATAGGAAGAAAACAAATACCACCATTCCTCCTTCAAATTTCCCCCACCGGTGCTCCTGACTATTTTCCAAAGCTTCTCCCTGCAAAATTTTCTTGCATATTTTGGGTTACCACGTGGGATTCAAATCACTGACGCCGACAATGAAGAAGAAAAAAAAATTTCACAGCTTCACATCATTGTCGGCATTGTTGCTGCCGTAACGCCGTCGAAGTTGGTCATCCAAAGCTCTGCTCCCGCCGTTGCAAATCCTGGTAATCACATCTGTATTTTGATGCCTATTATTTATATGTCTGTTGCACAATATTTACCCACACTGTTTTCATTCCTAGGTATATGTTAAATAAATGCACACCAAGTGTTTGTCAATATGTCTCAATAAACAAAAAGTTTACCAGCCAGATTTGGGTAATTGGATTTTGATAGTCTTTGATAAATTTTCATGGATCACTTTGATCCGTTTTCTATATTATATATTTCTTGATGAAACTGTTTGTTCCAGTGAATGGATCAGAATGGTCCAAGCTCCTCAAGCCCACGTCCAAATGATCAAGCCCACCGGATAACCTGCAAACAAGTTCAACGGGGAATTGGGTAGTCCCCCAGTGAACCCTCCGACGAGCAAGTTAGGGAGAGAAGTAGAGTGTAGAAAGAGAGATTAGAGATAAAAAAGCTTAACCTTCTTCTTGTCTTCAACGTTTGCTTATATCCTTTGGTAATCATTTCGCTGTCCCTTCCGACCTGCCCTCATCGCCGAAAGTCTATGTTGTAGCTTACCTTGTTCAGGGTAAGGGGGTCCTGTTCCAACGGAGAGGTGTTGTCGTAATAAATGTTGTAATGGGCTGCATTAATGGTGATGTGCAGTGGCAATAATTTTGCAGATCTTTGTTTGCTGATGTAGCTCGTCCTTCACCTGCTGTGTATCTGAATGTCATTGGCTCTTTATGCCATGTTGGACTCCAGCTGTCCTGGACTTCACCAGCTGGGTTATGCATTGGGCTCTAAGTGATGGGCTTGGATTGTTCATAGTGATTCGTGGCTTTTATGGGCTTATACATGTCAGTAGTCTCCCATTCCCGAGTACAGCTTTAGTCCAACGAAGGGAATATTAATGAAATAGATGAGGGTGTTAGGGATTGACAGGATGGAGGTCGACCGGCAGGGGTGACTGAGGGGGTGAACCGACCGAGAGGTGGTCCGATCGTACAGGGCGACCGAGTGGAAGAGCCGATTACGGGGAGGACCGACCGCAAAGGTTGGCCGAGTGGGAGGGTCGACCACGAGGAGGGCCGACCGTGAAGGGGGCCAACCGCGGAGGTTGGCCGAGTGGGAGGGTTGACCACGAGGAAGGCCGACCGCGAAGGGGGCCGACCGCGGAGGTTGGCCGAGTAGGAGGGTCGACCGCGAGGAGGGACGACCGCGAAGGGTGAAGTGGAGGGACGTGGGGCTCGAGAGGCGGCGTGTCACGTGGTGATTTGAAGTGGAAAAGACAGGGTAAGGGGAGGAGACAGTGGATCGTGGTCGTACACGTGGCAATATCCCACCGGGGGGGGAGAGAGATTAGGTGCTAGATCAGAAATGAAACGATAGGTCATTATGGGTGTTGAAAAGACAGTTTTGGCGAATGATTTGAAAAGTTTTCAAACTGGCGAAAATTAATTGGGATCCTTGGAATACGGGCAAACTGTGGACTTTTGGCATTATTCGATTTACCTACTTGTTTATGAAAAATCGAAATATTCCAAGTGTGAATTTCTTTGTTGCTCGCGATACACCTCTGTAACACTTTTTCAACTTCCTTGCACCTGCATCCGAAGCAATTCGCAGGCATACCACATAAATGGCCTAAGAAGAAACTGCGAATGTCAGGGTGGATCCACTTGGTGATGATGATGCAGTGGAGTTAGCACAGCAACATAGGATGGAGAGGGTGGGGGAGTCGGTGGTACGACCCCATGGTTCCACTATGATAGCAGCTCCAAAGCCAATTAGCCAGGCAGAACCAGATCACTGGCATACAAAGGCAGATAAATCAATGGTTACTGCAGCGGATTTGGAGGCCATTCGCGAAAAATACCAGGTGCCTCCTGAAATAGAGTTATTGTTGCCAATGTCGACGAAGAGGCCATCCGACGCCAGGCCAGGGGAGTTTGCCCTTTATGAGGAAGCATTGAAGGGAGGACTGAGGTTGTCCCTGCCGCAAGTGGTGGTAGATGTCCTGAATCGTTTGGAGATAGTGCCGGGCCAACTAATGCCCAATGCATGGAAGATCTTACTAGCCTGTGCAAGTGCGTGGCCGAAGGCGAACGAAAGGGCGGCCATGACAGTGGACGAATTCTTCGCATGTTACAAGGCCTCAGGGCAGCAAGAGACTTGGGTCAGTCTGCAGGCAGCGGCAGGGAAATAGCTGGTGGCGGGGCTGCCGTCATCGATCAAGGGGTGGAGACCACGGTGGTTCTATGTATCTGCCAGTGAAGGGGTTGGAGTGCGCACCATTTGGAAAGTGCCCACCAAGTCTGTAGAGCCAAGGCTGGGAGCAGCAGCAGATGAGAGGGTGAAGAGGGTAAAGAAATGGAGGGAGAAGGAAGGGGCCAGTGGTACGAACTCGTTCAGCTGTCGGCTTTGTTTGAGGTAGGGTTGGGTCCCCAGCCGAGTGGTGGGGACCTCGACCGAACGGAGTTGGAGGCAAGGAGAAAGGCTCAAGAGGCGGAGGATCAGACCATCTTTGCCAAAGCCTAAAAATTCAAAGAGTCTCAGGCAGACCGACCGCCAAAGTTGGTTGCAAGGGACAGGATCTGACCGCAACCCAAACCCTTGGGGGAAAAAAACTTAGGTGAATTTGTGCCACAACCGCCCCCAATAGATCCTTTGAAGGAGAGGTCGTTGAAGGAGATGGAGGTGTTGGGCGTAGTGAAGAAGAAAAGGAGAGTGGGGAGGAGTGAAGAAGAGCCTGCCCAGAAGAAAAAGAGGAAAGTAAGGGCAGAAGAGACCAGTATGGCGAAGGGAGTAGAGGGGGGGGGAAGTGAAGGAGACCCCAGGAAGAGTAATTGTCCCAGAAGTGGTGGACATTGCCTCAGAGGGCAAGGAAGTCGTTCTAGTAGTGGCGGCGATCGCCACGGGGGTCGCGAGGGTCGCCCCTAAAGTACAAGTAGAAGGTGGGGCAATTGGCCCTGAGCCAAGGGGGGAAGAACAGCCCTAGGGGGCTCCTGTACCCCAAGGAGGGGGAGTTAGTCTGAGTACTACGATCTACCATGCTCGTGCGGTGGCTGGGCGGCAGGAGGGAGAAGAAGGCCCAGCCAGGGCAGGGGCAGACCGTCTTGTAGGGATTGTAGAAGAGGCAGCCTTGTGTGAGGCAGCCTTGCGCTCAGCAGCCAGATTTAATGAGGCTGAACTGCTAAGGGGGTTATGCTCCGCTCAAATAGAGGTAACTACCTTAGCAGGGGCTCTGCTGAGGAAGGCTGGGCCTGCAAAGCTCAAGGCAGATAAGGCCAAGGCTCAACTTGCAAGGTTGAAGAAGGAGAGCGCAAACTGGGAGAGTGCCCACGCTGAGCTGCAAACGGCCAAGGTGGAGCTGGAGAACACACGCCGCCAGGTTGTGTCGCTCAAGTTCCAACTGGCTAGCGAGCAGAAGAGGCTGGATGATGCCTAAAAAGCCTGCGCAATCGCGATCGAACGACATGAAGAGGCGATGAGCAGTAATGAAGAGCTGGTCAGGCTGAAGGATGAGGCAGATGTGAAGATTAGCGATCTGCAGAAGGAGCTAGAGGGCGAGCGTGTAAAGGCACTGGAAGAGAGGGAGAGCCTTCAGAAGGAGTTGGAAGCAGAGAGAGCCAAGGTGACTATTGAGAGGGAGACATTGAAGAAGGAGTTGGAGGCAGAGAAGGCCAAGGCAACTGCTGAAAGGGCGTCCCTGGAGAATGAGTAGGAGGAAGAGAGGGCTAAGACAGCCTCTGAAACGGCGACCCTGCAGAATGAGCTGGACAAAGAAAGGGCGAAGGTAGCCTCTGAAAGGGCGGCTTACCCCGATCTGTATGTGGCAGCAGTGGATCAATTCAAGAGGTCTGCTGAGTTTTAGATGGCAGTGGATGCCGCGGTTGCCAGCAGCTTGGCGAGGGAGGAGTCTGGGGGGGCGGGCCCATCGAGGACGACCGTTGGGGGCAGAACTGAAGCGGAAGTGATTGAGAGCTTCCAGCAGTCAGACTTCTATAAACACGAAATGGCTAAGTTCTAGGACAGTGGCTGGAAAATGTTCAAACGTAGGGCTGAAGAACTGTTACCAGACTTAGACCTCAGTAGTGTAACAATTGGTGAAGATAATGTGGCCCAGACCCCCCTGGATGAGGGTATTGAAGAAGAATACCTTGTCTCCAGTGAGGAGGAATGAGTGAAATGAAGAAAGTTTGTACTTAAGAGTTTTTTTTTTTTTGTGTTTGTTTTTGTTTTGAATGGCTGTAATGAACTCATGTACAAATTTCTGAATAAATAAAATTGCAATTATGTTTTCGTTTGATTGTCTGTGCTTGTGCAGCTGAAATGAATGAGGCGTGGGCGAAGCGGATGTATAACTCGTTGTGAAGTGCAAAGTGAAGTTAAACTTGTAATAAGAACTAAATTTAAGAACTCCTCAGTGTAGAGTGAAGTTGAAGTTGTAATAAAAACTCAATGCAGAGTGAAGTTAAGAACTCCTCAATGCAGAGTGAAATTGAACTTGTAATACAGACTCAATGCAGAGTAAAGTTAAGAACTCCTCAATGCAGAGTGAAATTGAACTTGTAATAAAGACTCAATGCAGAGTAAAGTTAAGAACTCCTCAATGCAGAGTGAAATTTAAAATGTAATAAAATTATAAGGTTGTGTTTGCCACACTGCTGAAGTAGATTAGTGGTTTATTGGAGTGAGGCTTTGCTTGTAAGGAAACAAGCTGACTTGTAAGAGTTTGATTGAGAAGAAAATAACCTAACTTGTAAAGAAAACGTGTAAGAACGTCTTTGGAATTTGACTAAGCAAAGAGTGGTGTAAAGACTTGGACCTGGAATTGTGACTAAGTGTGTCTACTAATTCCACAAGCATGAAGTTTGCATAGATGGCTTTGACCGAGCCCTGCACGCGTGCTCAGTTGGGGCTAAGCTATGATTCACTGACGTCATAAGGAACTCGGTCTGAACCTGAAATTGTGGCACTCGGTCCGGCTGAGACTTGTTATGCTTGGGTTGGTTGAGGCTTGGTCTGGCTGAGTGCTTCATGCTCAGTCTGGCTAAGGCTTTATGATGCTCAGTTTGGCTGAGGCTTTTTAGTGCTCGGTCTGGACGAAGCTTTTTAATGCTCATTCTGGCTGAGGTTTTATGATGCTCATTCTGGCCGAGGCTTTTCATGAGGGCTGCAATCAAAACATCATTGAGACACCATACAGATACCTGAGATATATAATTGATGGCAGGGGAAGTGTAACCCAGTTAATTAAAAAGTTACATTGCGTAAGGAGATATCAAGAATGTGTAAATTTGCTGAAAAGAAAATACGATAACTGAGCGATACAAAAGTAGGAGCTTATTGAAAGTAACGTTTCAGGTGTTCGGTGTTCCATGGGTGGGGGAGGTCTCGACCTTCCATGTCCTGAAGTCGGTAGGTGCCTGAACGTGGTCTGACTTTCACAACGTAAGGTCCCTCCCATTTGGCTGCGAGTTTACCCTTAGTCGGATTTTTGGTGGCAAGAGTTGCTTCTCTCAAGACAAGGTCCCCTACAGCGAACTCCCTTGGTCGGACTTTCCGGTTGTAGTGTGTTCTCATTTTTTGTTGGTATGAGGCCAATCTGACAGCGGTGGTCTCTCTGAGTTCTTCGATTAGGTCCAGGTCTGCTCGACGGAGCTCTTCGGTTTTTGCTGGATCCGGATGTAAAACCCTGAGAGTAGGCAGACCGACTTCTACTGGAATAACTGCCTCAGCGCCGTATGTTAAGCAGAAAGGGGTTTCCCTAATGGGAGTCCGAGCTGTAGTTCGGTAAGCCCAGAGTACATTTGGTAATTCCTCAGCCCAAAGTCCCTTAGCAGCTTCGAGTTTAGTTTTGATGATCTTCAGGAGAGAACGGTTGGTGACCTCGGCTTGGCCATTGGCCTGGGGATGACCGGGGGAAGAGAAACATGGTTGAATTGGGAGGTCGGCACAGAACTTCCCGTACTTGGTGTTGTCAAATTGTTTGCCGTTGTCGGAGACGATGGCCTGAGGGATGCCAAATCTACAAACGATCGACTGCCAGATGAACTTGGTTGTGTTCCGCTCGGTAATAATGGCAAGGGGTTCTGCCTCTACCCACTTGGTGAAGTAATCAATGGCGACGATCGCGAACTTGGTCTGACCTCGGTCGGTGGGAAATGGACCGACCAAGTCGATCCCTCATTTGGCGAACAGTTAAGGGCTGCAAAGTGTGATCAACTCTGTAGGAGGAGCATGTGGGATGTTGGCAAAACGTTAACACTTATCACATTTGAGCACGAAATCAGTCGCATCTTGATTGAGAGTTGGCCAGAAATAACCAGTACGGAGTATTTTGTGGGCCAGAGACCTGCCACCCGAATGATTACCACAAATTCCCTCATGGATTTCCCGCATGACATAGGTTGCTTGAGCCGAATTGAGGCATCACAGGTATGGGCGTGAAAAATCACGTTTGTATAAGACGCCATTGACCAGGATGTAATTGAATGACCGGGCCCTGACTTTGGCGGCCTACTATTGGTCATCTGGGAGTTCTCCCATTGTCAAAAATAGGAAGATGTCGGAGGCCCAAGGGATGGGTTCGTTTTGGAGGAACTGCACTTCTTGTAAGTCAGGTGAGATGGCCGGGTGGGCTAGGTATTCGAGACGGACACCGTGGCTGAGGTCGGACTGGTCTGCAGAGGCCAACTGAGCCATCTCATCTGCCTTGGAGTTTTCTGCCCGAGGTATGTGCTTGATGTGGAAGGTATTGAAGAGGCGAACAAGGGGGAGGGCCATATCCCTCTAAGCCCGCATTGTGTCTTCTTTGGCATCGAATTCCCCCGTAATCTGGCCGATGATAAGTTGGAAGTCGCTGAACACCCGGATGTGGCTGACTCCAATGTCCTTGGCGAGGCGGAGTCCTGCTATCAATGCCTCATATTCGGCCTCATTGTTGTTGGCATTAAACAAGAAATGGAGAACACATTTGAAATAGCCGCCCTCAGGGGCGGTGAGAATGAGGCCAGCCCCACTACCTTCCTTGCGGGATGATCCGTCCACGTTGAGAGTCCATGAATGCGGGTCTTCTGGCTCGGTAGGGGTTGGTGGAGGTGGGGGCGCAGCGGTTGGGGTAGGATTAGTGAATTCCAGGATGAAATCCGCGACAGCCTGTCCCTTAATTGCTGTTCAAGGCTGGTAGGATATGTCAAACTGACTGAGTTCCACTGACCACTGCATGAGTCGGCCGGAAAGTTCTGGTTGTTATATGGCCTTTTTCAAGGGTTGGTCAGTGAGAACCACTATGGAATGGGCCTGGAAGTAAGGACGGAGCCGTCTAGAGGCGGTGGCCAAGGCCAAGGACAATTTTTCTAACAGCGGGTAATTCTGCTCTGCTCCCCTGAGAGCCCGACTGATGTAGTAGACCGGCCGTTAGACAGAGTCGTCTTCCCTGATAAGAGCTGCACTGACTGCGGTGCTTGAGACGGCTAAATAGTGGAAGAGGGGCTCGGCCGTAATTGCTTGTGAAAGGATGGGGGATTTGCCATGAACTGCTTCAATTGCTGAAAAGCTTCTTCAGATTCAGTTGTCCATTCAAAAGTTTGCCGAAGAACTTTGAAGAATGGTAGGTACTTATTTGTTGCGCAGGAAATGAAGCGGTTGAGGGCCGCAACTCGGCCAGTGAGCCTTTAAACCTCTTTAACCGTTCTAGGTGACTGCATCTCAATCAAGGCCTTGATCTTTTTGGGGTTAGCTTCAATGCCCCGCTGACTAACCATAAAACCCAGAAACTTCCCAGATCCTACGCCGACGGCGCACTTCTCTGGGTTGAGCTTCATTTGGTACTTGCGTAGGGTGGCGAAGGTCTCTCGCAGGTCGAACAGATGATCAATAGAGAGTTTGCTCTTGACTAGCATGTCGTCGACATAGACTTCCATATTCCGACCTATCTGATGATGGAAAACGACATTGACCAACCGTTGGTAGGTGGCCCCAGCATTCTTCAGTCCGAATGGCATCACGCGGTAGTGGTAGGTACCTCGGTCGGTAATGAAGGATGTATGTTCCCGATCGGACGGGTGCATCAGGATTTGGTTGTACCCAGAGAAAGCATCCATGAAGCTGAGCATTTGATGACCGGTCGTGGCGTCGACCAGTAGATCTATGTGGGGAAGAGGATAGCTGTCTTTGGGACAAGCTCGGTTTAGGTCAGAGTAATCGACACAGAGTCGCCATTTGCCATTGTTCTTGCGGACTAGGACTACGTTTGACAACCATTTAGGGTAATCCACGTTTTTGATGAATTGGGCCTCGAGGAGCTTGTCAACCTCTGCGGCTATAAGTGTATTACGCTCTGGATGGAAGATGCGTTGCTTCTGGCGGTAAGGTCAGAAATGGGGTTCGATGCTGAGGCGGTAAGTTATGAAAGAGGGGTCAATGCCCGGCATGTCTGAATGGGTCCAGGCAAATACATCATTGTGCTCGATCAGAAGGGCGGTAAGGTCGGCCTTGGCTTGGGGGGATAGTTGGCTGCCGATCTTGGCAGTCTTCATAGGGTTGGTGGGATCGATGGGAACCTCAACGAGCTCCTCCACCGGTTCTCCTCTAACCAGCTCGTCCTCATCTCGGACGTCAAATCCTTCAATGATCATGGCCTCCTTCAGCTTGACTTCCTTGAGTAAGGCGACATAGCATTTCCTAGCTACAGTCTGCTCTTCCCTTACTGTCCC